TTGCACATGTGCAAAAACACCTTTTGCAAGGTTACCCGCTTATTTCTAACTTAGGAGCTTTCCTACTTGCTTTTGTCTTTTTTTTCTGGGTCAAATTGTCCATATCTGAGCTTCTGATTTCTCCTATCTAGACCCACCTTAATCCCAGCAATAAAGGAGGTGTTGGGGAACCCTTAGAAGTAATTGATGGAAAGCAAATAATGTAGGAAAGATATTGAGCAACTGGCAATTGGCTCACAAATATCCCTGGCACAGCTTGGGACAGTCCTTGGCTGCCTTTTGTGGACCTGAATCTTCCATTGTGATGGGAAGGAAGTTGCCAGCAGAGGTGTGCAGCCTCACCTCCAGCATGTGCTACTGTCAATGTTTGCATGGAGAATGAAAATAAATGATCAAGTGAGAATGCCCTTCCTCGCATCTGTCTACACAGTGAGCTGCTTATTCTTCAAGTTCCAAATCATCCTCTCCTTCTTTGTGATGATTTTTCTGCTCTGCCAGGGAGCACCACCCCATCTTTTGGTGCTCCTATGGGGGTGTGCACATGGTTCCCATACTGCATGGCTGTTATTTCAACACACGACTACTTTCTAGCTTGGCCGTCAGTCTTAAGCGCAGGATGATGGCTGTCTCAGACATTTGAAAATCTTCCTTATAGGTGTGGAGCCAACACTTAGTAGAAGCCCAGTAAGTGTTGAGTGAGTAACGTGCATCCCTGTCTGGAAACAAAGCGATGGACTGGACACTTCTGAAGAAGCTCTTTGGCTTGCAGTTCAGTTCCAGTCTCTTCACAGGGCATTCCTGGACCCCTGGTTGGCTCAGCAGATTTTGGCCTTTATTAAAGGCATGGTAAAAAGGAAAGAGCAAAAGGAAGGAGTCCAGTCTTGACTTCTCAGTAGGCCTCCATTTCCTTGTCCATAAAATAGGAAATCTGGTAAGGATTTCTAGCTCTACAACTGCAAGTGTCCCTGTATGACCTGCAAGATGATATGACCACATCATCTGCCAGCCCATTTGCTTCCAAGATGGACTTGGTTGATCTGGTACCGCCCTCATTGTGCCATGAATATTTCCCCATAACTACTTGCTCAGTGCAGTGAAAGGAGAGGCTCTTCCTCCTACAGTAATATGGAGGTAATATTTGTACCTAATATAGAGGGATAATAAAGGGAAAGGACCGACATATATTGTGCACCTACTATGCTTTGTGTTTTTACAGGGTTAGCTAATTTGATCTCTATGACTCTGTGAGGTAGTTATTATAATCCCTAATTTTAAAGATGAGGGAATGGGACTCAGTGGTTAAAAAAATTGCTATAGGCCACACAGCTAATAAATTAATAAAGATAGGATTTAAAGCTAAGTGTCCAGACTCTTCCTACTGCTGTTATGCTAGACAGTAGGAGTAAAGTTACAGAACTGGAGAAGCATGGAATGTGTTTGGGAATTAGGAAATGGTTCAGACAGAGGGTGGAGAGCAGATGGCATCTAAAGGGGAACGGCGTGAGACAAGGCTGGCATGTATAATAGATTGGCCCTGAATATCAGCCTGTGACACTGGACTTGACAAAACTGTATGCAGTGGGAGCCATGGACAGTTTTAGAAACAAATTTGACTTACCCAGATGCATTATGAAGCTTAACCTGGCTTTTAAGAAAAGGATGGATTGAAGGGAAGGGGAGAGATGACAGACCTCTTAGCCTATGGAAATAGTCTTCCTCCCCAGTAAGTCATTCGGCAAACAGAGCGCTTCTATGTGCAAATCAATGCTCCACATCGTGAAATATACAATGGTGAAAAAAATGGGTTCTGCCCTCAAGGAGCTTACTCTGACATAGAAGAGGTAACTAATCATGAGGAATAGTAGAACATGTTGTCTTGTAGATCTCAGTGCTAAAGAGGTGTAGCAGAATCTTTGCCTTTGTAGAATTCTCCATTGGATGAAACCCATCAGCTTTGAATCAGTCAGAAGTGAGATTTTTGGATATATCTTTGTACTTAAAATCAGGTTTCCTTTCTTTCTCTCTGCTTGAATGTGTGAATGTGACCAGCCACCTTCTCTCCTTTTCTTTAAGCTTTACTCCTCCAGTCTCATTCCTAACAGTGAGTGAATAAATCAATGACTGTACAGGTTTGCGCCTGCTCGGGTCAGTTTTTGGACTCCAGTGCAGCGGTGTTCACTAGTGGAGTTTTCTTTGCTCTAATCTCTACCTGGAATTAAATATCCTATTTACCAGCCTCCTTTCTTTTCTCTACCGAGACCAAGACTTCTAAAATCTTCAGTTGCAGTTCACTAACTACAGACCTCAAATCCCTTTGCCTCTGGAGATACGGAGGGGCTCTTATTTCTGTTTTGTCTTTAGCTTAACTTGCCTACTGTTTGTTGCCCTAACAATAGGGTTACTTCACAGGTGAAGTGCACACGACAGACCCACCCCACCTTCAGTCCTCCACTGAGTGCTTAAGGATCAGTTCTGAGGTATTTAAATAACAGTTTCAAAAGGGAGCCTCCTTGCTTTTAAATAGAGCTCCTTTAAACAGGACAGAGAGGCAATAGAGGAATCAACACGTTATTTTATTTCCCACTTTTTTTCTTTTTGCATCCTCTCCTTTGGCATGTTGAAACCTTTCTTTCTGTGCCTGGAACTGTATCATGAGAGAGAGAGAGAGAGAGAGAGAGAGAGAGAGAGAGCAGGAGGCAGAGTTATTTATTTATTTATTCTTTCAAATTTTATAAAATGCTCTCTGCCACGCATTTTCCAGAGGCCCCTTCCTCTTTTGAGCAGTTCTACAGGAGGTCCCCTTTTTTTTTTTTTTTGTCTCTGCTCCTTCCTTCTCTTGCACCCGCTCCAGCTCCAGAGCAACGAGCTGCCACTCGTTAAGTGTGTGCCCATGCTATTATCCTGGGTGGCTGAAAACTGTTCTTTCCTTTGTTTTTAGAAGTCTCTCTCTCTTCCCCACAGCCACCTGCATCCCACACAACAGCTTTAAAGGAGAAAACCCCATGGAGAAAGAACTGAAACTGAGAGGAGTTCCAAACTAAAAATAAACCACAGATCTCAGCAAGGCTCTAGACCCTGGCTGTTGCCCTTGCCATTGACTTTTCCTTATTGAAAACTACTCAGAGACCTGAGGAAAGCTTTGTGCTAATACTGATATAATTGCTCTCATCGCTGCTACCTGGGTGAGTGCCATTCAATATTTACACTATGCAAGGTGCCACGTAGGAGTTGGATATACCTGGAGTTTCTCAAAATCCCAGTGTAATGAAGTTAATGTGGGGAAAAAGTCTCTGAGAATTAGAAGAAGGTCCCCTGGTCTTACCCCTGCTGCTCTGATTCATTCACTTCAGTTTTCTTTTCTTTTTTGAGACAAGATCTCTCTCACCCAGGCTGTAGTGCAGTAGAACAATCACGACTCACTGCAGCCTTGACCCCAGCTCAAGCGATCCTCCCACCTCAGCCATTCCTCACCATCCCCATCCCCCAGTAACTGGGACTACAGGTGAATGCCACCCTGCTCAGCTAATTTAAAAAAAATGTCTGTAGAGACAGGGTCTCACTCTATTAGCCAGGCTGGTCTTGAATGCTTTGCTTCAAGTGATACTCCCTCTTCAGTCCCTTCCCCCCAAGTGCTGGGACTACAGGCATGAGCCACCATGCCGTGCCTACTTCATATTTTAAGAGAGGATTAGAAAAGTAACTTTGCACTTCTCGTTCAGGATTCTGTGACTCTGACTTCATCACTTCCTTTCTTACAGTTTCTTCTCGCTGCTCTTCTTTTCTTTATTTAACCACCTTTCCTTTCCTCCCCCTCTTATTTCTCTCTCTCCTCCTCACTTTCTCTCTCCCACTCCTTCTCATATCAACCCAGCTTACTATCAACCCTATTGTCTTACTTCACAAGTAACAGCTTCTGAAGCGTAGTACACAGAACGAAACTGTTATTCCAAGCTCCCGGAGGAATATGAAGAAGAAAGCCATTCTTTTTATTTTGATGAGTCCCTGGGGAAACTGAGTCCCTTTTCTCTTACCAACCCATGAACAAATAGGCATTGGGGTCAAGGCTTCAAAACTGTCTGTTCTGTTAGCTGCAGATTTTAGGAAAGGTTTTGGGGAAATAAATAAAGGCAGAAATAAGTTATGTGCTGCTAGAACCTTCTGTTCTCCTGGCATCTCTCCTTGTCACATTGTTTTCCTAATCTAGCTGGTACAACTCCAACCCAACAGAGTAGAAAGAAATTCACTCATAATGAACAAAGGTCATTTATTATGTTCTTGATTGATTAGAGCACTATGCTGGAAATTGCATTAGATTGTGAGTTTTTTGGCACAGACCTGGTGTGTAGTGAATAAATATTTTATTTTGAAGAAGTCAATGGTGTACAAAGTTACACCTATTGAAACTTTCTCAGAGGCAGAGATTATTTATAGTGATTGTGTTTCTGAAGAAAATTTAAAGATAGGTTGATAAGTAGGTTTTTTTTTACCTGATTTTGGAGCTTACATGGAACTAGGGAAGTATAAAAAAATGAAATTTGTTTTGTTATACACTGAATGAATCATCAATGTATAACAACTAGAATGATATACATTGAATAAATAAAAATGATATTTATTGAATATAAAAATTGAAATGATCTCAGAAAATTGAACATGTTATATATCATGCCCATGTTATATATCATGGCTTGCAAAAAGAGAAGCAGCAACATATAAAGGATTTAAAAATACGGTAATATCATGAAAATAATAAATACAAAGTTTGTCACTTCGTGCTGTCACAACTCAAGAGTACCTATGAGATTGGAGTGGCCACCAGCTATGGCATCTGTGGACATTCTGGGTTCAAGTGGGAAGAAAGGAATCATAGAGCAGCCTCCTTCTGCTTAATCTCTGAAGGAGACAGTCAATGGATGACCTTGCCAAAATATTTGCAACATGAACAAAGGTCGTTTGTGAATATTAACCAGCTGTGTCGTAAACTGCTGCTGGGGTTCACTGTGGAATTATACCCACCTTCTGCTGTGGGAGATGCAGACCAGACCTAATTCAGACCCATCTGGGTTTTGGGTCAGGACCCTGGAAGATTAAGGAAAGAAATAAATTGTCTCATGGTCGCATGTTTCCAGATACAAAAGGGTATGTAGAAAAATTTTATTCTAACCCTCATCATCTAAACCGAATAAAATTTTGCCAGGCGCGGTGGCACGTGCCTGTAGTCCCAGCTACTCGGGAGGCTGAGGTGGGAGGATTGCTTGAGCCCAGGAGTTCTGGGCTGTATGCGCTATGCTGATCAGGTGTCCACACTAAGTTCGGCATCAATGTGGTGACCTCCCGGGAGCGGGGGACCACCAGGTTGCCTAAGGAGGGGTGAACCGGCCCAGGTCAGAAACTGAGCAGATCAAAACTCCTGTGCTGATCAGCAGTGGGATCGCTCCTGTGAAGAGCCACTGCACTCCAGCCTGGGCAACACAGCGAGACCCTGTCTCTCAAAAAAAAAAAAAATTTTTTTTTAAGATAAGAAACTTGGAGCATTGTTCTACCCTGTGAAGTCCTAAGCAAGACATACATTCATTTCTTCACATGGAACCACAGGGTCTGTGATGATGTCTGACTGCATTTCCCTGATGGTAGGGGGTTGGCGAGAACAGGAATACTCCACCTGGCTTGTCAGCATCCAGAACCCCACCTCATTGCAAGCTGCCATTTCCTCCTACACAGAATGTTGCATTTGCCTCCTAACTGTGCTCAGCTAATTAAGGTCTCCCTGCTTCTGCTCTTCTCTCTGTAGAATTTTTCTTTTTTGAGACGGAGTCTCACTCTGTCACCCAGGCTGGAGTGCAGCGGTGCAATCTCAGTTCACTGCAACCTCCACCTCCCAGGTTGAAGAAATTTTGATGCCTCAGCCTCTCGAGTAGCTGGGATTACAGGTGCCCACCACCACACCCAACTAATTATTGTACTTTGTTAGTAGAAATGGGGTTTCGCCATGTTGGCCAGGCTGGTCTTGATTTCCTGACCTCAAGTGATCCACCCGCCTCAGCATCCCAAAGTGCTGGGATTACAGGTGTGAGCCACTGCGCCCGGCCTTCTCTCTATAATCTGCTTCTCAAGTAGCCAGAGTCTTCTTGTAAAAGTGCAAATCAAGCTGTGTCATCTCCTGCATTAAACTGTCCAGTGGTTTCCCATGGCAGTCAGGAAGTAATGTGTTACTCTCGCTCTTGCCTACCCAGCCGTGTGAACCTCTGGCCCCACCGCCCACTCCTCCTGCCTCATCTCAGGCTCCCTGCCCCTTGAGATCTGTGCAGCAGGCCCAATGACCTTCTTTCTGCCCCTGAGGCATGTGGAGCCCATCCCTGCCTCAGGGTCTTTGCACTTGCACTCTTCAGCACTCTGAGCTCAGCTTTTCCCGAAGCTGCCTCCTCATCCTTCAAGTCTCAATTAATGACACTCCCTCCATGAGGTGTTCCTTGACCTCCTAATTTAAATTAACTTAGTCACTCACAATCACATCACCCTTTTTATTTTCTTCATAGCCTTATTGCTTTCCAAAATTATTGTGTTTGTTTATTGATTTACTAGTTTAGTGTTTGTTTCCTCCCACTAGAAGGTTAGGAAATCACTGAGAAAGTAGTCTTAGAATTGTATCTTATACTACATACTGCGATATATGCAGAACCAAGTTCCTGGCACATAGTAGGTTTAGAATAAATGGTTTTGATTGGTATTGTGAATAATGAGACCTAACCCATCTCCCACACCCCTGGCACTGGCATTCCATAAATAGGACATAGCTTTCCTTTGTAAAGTGGGTTGAAGTTCCTGTTTACCTGGGAGGAAGAGCCAGTCTGGGACACATATTAAAGCATTTTTCAAGTGCTTAGAGTTTAAGAAGGGATCATGCACAGCATCTAATATCACTCAAGAGGGGAAGAGAGTATGGTAGATAGTCTCCAAAGATGACCGCCACCAATTTCTTCCCTTTTGTATATACATGGCACTTCATCTATCAAGAGGTAGAAACCATTTTTCCTCTCCTCGAATCTAATTGGCCTTGTGGTTTGTTTTGACTAATAAGCAAAATGCAGTAAAAGTGCTGTTCTAGGACTTTCCAGCCAGGCCTTAATAGAATTGGCAGCATCTGTTTTCTTCTTGGAAGCCAGCTGCCATGGATGAAGTCCAGTTCTCTGAGAATGCTGTGCTTTGAGGAAGTCCAAGCTCTCCTTGTAGAGAAGCCCCATGGAGGAGCACCAAGGTGCCAGATACAAGAGTGAAGCCTTGGCAGAGCAGCCCATGAATTCAGCCTACTGAAAGCAGAAGAACCCACCAACTAAGCCAAGTCAACCTACAAAATTATGAAAAATAAGTCATTAGTGTTTCAAGACAGTAAATTTTCGGGTGGTTTGTTACATAGCAGACAACTAATGTTAGAGATCTGGTTGCTGCAGAATTGCTTGTAACCATATCCTGAAGCTTGAAGAAATTTTAAGCTTCTCAAGCTTTAATCTGCATATAATAAATCATCAGGGCATACTGTTAAGAGGCAGAGTCTGATTCTGTAGGTCTGGGGTGGGGTTGAGAATCTGGCAGCATCTGTTTTCTCCATCTTGGCAGCCAGCTGCCATGGAAGAGGTCCAGGACTCTGAGAACGTGTGCTTTGAAGAAGTCCAAGCTCTCCTTGTAGAGAAGCCCCATGGAGGAGCACCAAGGCGCCAGATAGTTGTATCCATAAGATACTTTTATCATCCTAAGCGCTGCCTCTGTTGATTCATTTTGAGTAGCAAGGCCAGTCCCAGCCTCCAGGAAGTTTCATACTTAAATCACCTTAGAAAACCCCAGGCTTTCCCCAAGTATAATTGAGGAAAGACTAGTTTAAAAAAGGGTTCTGGTCAGATAAGTTTGGGAAATGCCACTTAGTATATTCCACCACTAGAGCTTCCAAACATACTGAGCTAATAGAGCTCCTTCACTAAAGAAACCTGTGTAAGTCTATTTAGCACAATATTTCCCGAGTATATTTGATCATTCCTATTAATATCTTAAAGAACTAGTGTTCTGTAGAACACCCTTGGAGAAGCACAAAACCACCTTTCCCCATTCCTTTTTAAAAATTAACCCAGCAGGCTAATCATTGACTCTTAATTGTGAATGCTTATGTCACAGTGTTACAATCCAGGATTTTTTTTCTTCACTATCTAACCGAATTCCTTTCTTTTTGCTGTAGTCTAAGAAATCTCCATTGGTTTCCAACAGCGGTGGAGAGCAGTCCATGTCACCTATTATTTAGCCCTTCCAATGCTTGAAGCTCTCCTCTTCCTGTCAAGGTGCTCGGTCTACTTCTTTCCATTTTCCAACACTTCATTGCTCTTTTTCCAGCTCTGCCACTTAATGAGCTGGTTGACCTTGGATTCGTTTCTTGATATTTCTAAGTATAAATATTTCCATTTGTAAAATGGAGTTACTCCTAGTATTGGAAGTACTAAATACACCCATCTATTGAGTGCTTAGCATACAGCCTGCAAGTCCTAATCATTCAGGAAGTGTCAGCTCTCATTGTCATTGTTCTCTTACAGCTCCAACTCTCCAGCTCTATGGGTGTCCCTGTCCCAGCCAGGCTCGGGAGGAGAGAAAGACACTGGGGGGGACACATGGCTGATTGAAACTGATCTAATTCTACAGTCTGATTTGAGCTGCTATTCTTAGCCTCCTTCACACCAAATCTTTTTCCTGGTACCGCTGAGAAGCTTCAGAAAGTTCAGGCTAAAGTTAGAAATCTAAATCTGTGTCTCTGGAAGTCCACCCACTCTTCATCTTTGGAAGCTGTTCTTTGGGGCTGACACTGGAATTTCAAGGGTTATCTGCTATTTTTACATTTTTATTGTCTCTTTGCTGAAACAAGTCAGAGATGGTCTCCCAGCAGCCAGACTTGATACTGGTAGGTTCTGTATTGAAACGAGGCTCAGAATAATATCACCTCCTCTGTCTATCCCTTTGTCCCAGAGACCACCTGCAAATAGTTTTGAGTTCCTTCCTTCTCTCCTTCCTCATTTGCTTAGGAGAAAGCAGGCAGCTTCTCATCCATATTAAAAACAAGGCTCTTTCATCACTGGCTCCTCTCCCTACCATTTGCAGACCTCACTAATAGCACGCTAAGTCTCTGCTCCTATAGAGGGTATACAGAGTAACTCAAGCTGGCCCTAGTTTCTTTCTTCCCTGGCCTCAAAAGGAAGTAGCTCTGGTCACAAGTCTAACTTCCCATTCCGTGAAGTGGGAGAAAATCTGCCCTTTGCTTTCAAGCCTGATCTGTTTTCTACATGTGTGCAGATACAGTGTGATTATATTGTATTTCTCTGTGGGCACCAACTGCTGTCCTTCACACGGGGTAAATGCAAAGGCAGCCCAGAGGGCAGCCGAACTTTTGATCTCAGTGCTGTATTGAATACAGCTGCTTGGCTTCTCGCTGTGAGTGACACCAAGGCTAGTATTTTCATCTCATGTAGAGATGTAGGAGGCCCTGTAATAATAACAGCTAAGATTCAGTGCTGCTAATGTGCCAGGCACTGTGCTAACTAAATACTCTACATACAACCTCATCTAAACATCCACTTGTATTTCTGTTTTGCAGAGGACCTGAGGGATCTAAGGCTTAAGAGAAGCAGCCTGACATGTCCTAGGTCATAGAGCCGGTCAGTGGAAGGGGAGAGATTCAAACTAGAACCTCATGAACTCCCATCCATTACACACGGAAATTTTGCCTGGAGAGCAGGCCCAGGCTGTTACTGGAGCAGTGGTGAGTTATGGGCCCATGGGGCTGCAGGGCCGTTCTGAGGCCATGTAACCCACTTTCTTCTCCTTAGGCAGCACGTCCCCAGCCATTCCACCAAAATGTTGTTGCTCCTATCTGAAAACAGTTGTGAGAAGTTATTCCACTGCCAAGCCTAGCATGTCTGTGGGGGTTTTATGACCCTTGGACATGGGGTTTAGCCTGAAGATTCTGAGTATTCCTGTCTGACAAGGATCTGTCTGCTGAAACTCGAACTGTTATTTTCTGTTTAGCTTCCTACGGGTAGGAAATGAATCCAGAGAAGTTGCCACTTGAAACTGGAGTGTACATATGGTGCTAGTCTTAGGACAACTGTGGATCCAAAGAGAGTTTTTATTATCAGTCTCATTATAATATTTATTTTCCCTATTATATGAATTGTAAAGTAAAAAGCGGCAATGACTTTGGTTTGGTCCTTGTTTTAGGGGTCTTGTTACTCTAAGTGTGCCTCAAGATCAGCAGCAGCAGCCTCACCTGGGAGCTTGTTATCAATGCAGAACCTCAGACCCCACCCCACATTTGTGGACTCAAAATCTGCACTTTGACAGCATCCCAAGCTTATCTGTGTGCACATAAAGTCTGAAGGGCACCGTTTTGTGGGACTTAAATCCGAGGGTGGAGTACAGATGGCCTAGGTGTTAAGATAATTGTTCACAATGCTGACTGCACCGTAGAATCACCTGAGGACCTGCAGAGCCCCTATCTCCCACTACTGAAGATTCTGGATTAATTTATCTGGGGTGGAGACTAGGGGTGGGTATATTTGAAAAGTTTCTCAGGTGAGTCCAGTGTGCATCAGCGCTCACCACCACTGCCTAAAAGAAATCCTGCATTCTAGCTCTGGCATGTGAAGGTGAGGCAGTGTCTGTCTCTCTCTGCTGGATGTTCTATCTAAGGCAGCGTGGTTGTTGACAAGGCTCCAGGAAGGACAAGAGAAGGCATATTAAAACATGCAATGAAGCCTTCTTTGAGAAGACAGTGACAGGAGAACCGTGGGACCATGTTTGACTATGTCGACAGAGTCAGGGTTTGGAAAAATGTACCATTATTTCTCTAACTCTGTAGATTCATGGAGAAGCTGTAATGTCCTTCATTTAAGATTTTAGTGTCTTTCATTCAGGACATGTGGATGCTTTAGGGTTGCTAGATTTGGCAACTAAAAATACAGGACACCCAGTTACGTTTGAGTTTCAGGTGAAGAAAGAGCAACTTTTATATATATATATATATATATATATATATTTAGCATGCAGTGTTTGAGAAAATCACATGTTAAAAAATTATTCATTGTTAATTGGAAACTAACTTAGCTGTGTGTCCTTTATTTTATCTGGCAACCCAGCCTGTTTAGAGCAGAGTTTCAATCAATGCCTTGGGACACTGGAATATCGAAAACAATACCCTCTGAATTGTGAGGGTGCATAGCAACTCTGGGTATGTGTGTGTGTATTAAGGGTATCGAAGGGATGGAGATGGGAAGGCACAAAAGTTTGGATAATAGCAGAGACAATGGAGAAGAATTTTCTCTTTGTATGTCAGGGACAATTTACTCGTAAGTTTCAGACTGAAAAACACCAAAGAAGCCTTGTGAAGGGAAATTTTTTTCATGATAAATTGATTTTTTGGCAAAAATCTTTTTTTGCCAAAAATATTGTAAAAATTGCTTCTTGCAAAAATTTCAAACTGTACAGAAAGGTGTAAAATGGAAAGCAAAAGTATCAAAATCTCTCGTTATCAATTCCAGAAACTACCATTCTTAACTTTCACTTGCATATCCTTCCAGGACTTTCTTGGTCATAGATTAACATGTGTCTACATATGAATATTTTTAATTTCAAAAATGAAAATATGTGTTGCATACTTTTGCAAATGACTTTTATTTTCACTTAACAGTATATCTTAGATATCTTTTCATATGTGCCTGTGTGGCTATACCTACTTCGTTCCTTTTTAACAATTGTATTATAATTTATTAAATTATGAATTATTTTTATTAATTCAAAGGGCACTTCAAAGTGCTTTATCTGTCCAGAGCTTTGTATAAGTGTTCGCTTTTCACGATTTAATATTGAATTTAGCATCAATACTTGGTATCAGTCCAACAGTATCTCCTCAGAGAGGCATTCCCTGTTTCCTCTAGGAAAAATATCTTTGCCCCTAAGCACACTCTCACTCTTCCTAACAGATTACCCTGTGCTGTTTTTCATAATTGGCATTTATCTCTATCTGAAATGCTCTAATATATCAAATTGTTTATTTATTTATGCATATCTGTCTCTCCCCACTAGCCTGAGATTGCAAAACACATAGTGGGTATGCAAAACATATCTGTTAATGGATGAATGATCAAGCGATTGCATTGAACATACTGTGGCACAGATAAATGAGGAACAGCGAAGAAGCATGTGATGAATCGAATCAGGCAGCAAATGAAACTCAAGGCATACTGTTTTAAGGGATAAAATCAATTCTGGCTGGGCGCGGTGGCTCATGCCTGTAATCCCAGCACTTTGGGAGGCTGAGGCGGGTGGATCATGAGGTCAAGAATTCGAGACCATCTTGGTCAACATGGTGAGACCCCGTCTTTACTAAAGATACAAAAAATTAGCTGGGCATGGTGGCGCGTGCCTGTAATCCCAGCTACTCGGGAGGCTGAGGCAGGAGAATTGCCTGAACCCAGGAGGCGGAGGTTGCGGTGAGCCGAGATCACGCCATTGCACTCCAGCCTGGGTCACAAGAGCGAAACTCCGTCTCAAAAAAAAAATCAATTCTATGGGAGCTCATTGAAGGGAGTAAATCATTTATCACAGACAAAAACGAAAGGCTTCATGGAAAAGTGAATTAGAAGTGACAGTATAAGAATGAGAATGATTGACAGGTAGGGATTGTGGGAATGGTAGTACAAGGTAGAGAACGTGTCTAGACAGAGTTTGGAGGCGGGTAATTGCCTGGCATATTTGGGGAGAGGTGTCTTTGCCACCATGGTGGGAGCTTGAGATGTGCATGGGGAAGGCAGAATGGATTGGGGAGGGATTCAAATGCTATATTGAGAGATTTTGATCATTTTACTCTAAGCACTGGGAAACTATTAAGGGTTTTTAAGGTGGGGAGTGATGGGTTAATTATATATTCTAAGAGCATAATATTGTCATCAATGGAAACATTTGTTGGAGCAGGGAAAAACTGAGGTTAGGAAGAAGCTTTAAGAGAAGATAAGGGCAAGGGTCAGATAGGTTGGAAGGACTGACCTAGTCAGGTGGGGAAAATTAGCTGTGTTTGATGCCACTCATCAAGATCAGTAATCAGTAGACCATGGCCTATGGGCCAAATTTTGCCCATTGTCAATTTTTGTAAATAAAGTTTTATTTGGAAATAGTCATATTCTTTTACATATTTTCTAGGGCTGCTTGGTGCTCCACTGGCAGACCTGAATAGTCATGATAGAGCCCACATGGCCTGCAAGACCTAATATATTTGCTACCTGGATCTTTACAGAAAAGGTTTGCTGGCCCCTGATTAAGATGAACAGTATCTATATCTCTCTCATGTAGGTCTTAGATGCAGAGATTATTACCATCTTAAAAAAGAGCAAGGTTTTGTGCCTGTCCCCTGGGAACCAAGAGTCATACTTTCCCATCAACCAGCTATTCCTCTTTGCCTTGAGCTTTGTCTTAAGTTCCAGAATTTAGGAGCCACAAAAGCCCCGAATCTCAGAAACGCTAAGATTTAGCCCAGAAAAGCTGATTGGGAAGGAGACTGTGTCTCCAGCTAAGGGCCAACAGCTCAACTTCCTCAAGATCACATTTTTGCCTTTGCAGAACCTACCAGGTTACCCCTGTTAGGATGTTGCCTCCTTGTCATCACAGCTGCGTGCAGCCGGTGTCCCATCCTGGCTTGCCCTTCCTCCAAGGACAATTCAAAGTTTTCAAATTTTCCTTAGCAAGAAGACAACAGCCGTGAAATAACACCCTTTCAAAATGCAGAGGGGTTTTTACATTCACATGCATGTGGACTCCTCTCTCAAACAGTCTTAGAATGCGAAACCTGACATTCTCAGCAGATAGCCTTTGACTATCTCAATTGTTAGGATACCTGTCATCTGATCGATGCTTCCAAGATCCTGGTTGAAATCCCTTTGTTTCCACAGTCTTAAGGATATGCCTTCGTGTTTTATGTTTTAAATTGAGTCTGTGGTTGTGTCATATAAAATGGGTTCACATTTTTTGCAAGTTAAAAATCCACCAAGACATCATTCCTCCATTAGTAATAGTGACGCGAACTTTCCATTTTGGTGAATGGCCCCTACAGTTCCTCACTTCAAGGCGTTGAGTGAAATGGGAGTTTCCTTGCTGACTTTTCTCAGCTTGTTTTTTCCCTTGACTTACCCACTTGAAAATTATTGCTTGCCTATAAATAGCTCCTAGTTATTTCTAAAGTCAAGAGTTTGTTTGTAGGTTGTTTACTTGGATGTCATCAGCCAAACTGCAGTGTCAGGCTGCTCAGGGGAAAGCTAATTTCCTCTTGAAAATTGCAATTCTGAAAGCTTCACATATTTCATCTCCATCATCAATAGGAACCAAAGTACATGTAGCTTCATGCTGAGTGATATACCAGCAAGCTAAATAAAAATGATCCCACTCTTGCAACTTAAAATAGGTAACATTGGTGTGAACTGACCCTGATGTGGCACATACGAAATTAACTTTCAGGATCTCTGAGCTATCATCATCCTTCAACAAGAGGCTTGGGTGACTGCCAGTCAAGAGAAGCAAGCCATATGTATTAAGATCTCTTTGAAGAGAGGAAAGAGGCAGTATTTTCAAATAAGCTCCAAATTGAAAGTGACAAGGGCAGATGCTTCAATTTACAGGCAATGATTTGCAAAAGAGCTGTTTGATATATAGGCAACTCTAGGTATCATGCTTCATGGTATACAGACTGGGTTGTGGCTCCCTATAAGGTGATTT